GCAACCTAAGTGATATAGTAGATACCACAAGAGCGGTAGTCAACACTAAGTACACCCTTGTCAACACCGGTGATGATAACTGGATAATATACCCATCGTTCGGGGGTAAACTGTTCGACTTAGACGATGTTGAGAGAACTACCGTCGCCTGAAACAAGCCATATACGCTCGTCTTCACCGATGATGACAAGTGGGTGTTATTACCCGATAAAGCCGACTGGCTTCTCAATATTAAGCTCGGCTCCCCCTACGTGTTCACGGATAATAAAGACAACTACCTAAATAAAGTCGTTAACAACGGAACCCTGCTAGTGGCTTACGTTCCGGCTCAGAGGCGTAGCGTAATCATCAGCCCAGTCGCCAGTACGGCATCCCACATGCTATCGAGTAAACCGAGCATGCAAAACGTTGTATTGCAGTTGGTGTCTGAATTCGAAGGCGTGGTCAAGATCCCGGAGAGCATACCGGCGAACTCAACACTGGTCATCCAAGTATACCTAGGGGAACCATCGCGGAATGATGTAGAGATCGTCAAGGGGGTCAAACTCGGGTGGGGGAAACAACAACAGTATCACGTTTGTAACGTTTACGTGCGGGTGGGTGTCGACTCCAAAACCAGTCTGCAGGGTGTCAACGTGATCGTGGAAGACACGATTTCACTAACCAAGATATTCCTACCCGACAATATACACTTCATGGGGGTGCACTTCACCCCTGAACTATTATCAGAAAACCAGTTGGAAATTATATCGTAATAGTATTATAGCAATGTCTTGGCTTCGTCCCAACACTACTCTTAACGATCTAGGGGACACGGAGGGATTCGATCAGCCTGGTGAGGAAGGCACCTTATACATCCTGCACTTGAAAGACAACGTGTATAGGCGGGTGTCGTTATCAGATTTTAAAGAGCCCGAATGGATAATCAACTTAACCTTTACCTCACCTTATGTCTCATTTAAGGAAGGAAACTATATCTCTGAAATTAGAAATAGAGGTACCATACCCTCGTGTTTCGTTCCAGGTCGTAATACAAAGATTGGACTAACCCCGTCCAGTATGTTAAATACATCATCCATAGGGGGTGAGTTAAAGTATTCCTGCTTCGGGCTCATACAGGTTCCGAGTATGACCCCAGGTTCAACACTCATCATAGAATTCTATATCCGTGACGTTTCTAGTAGTAAAGAACAACAACTTTTACCCGGGGTGACAGTACACTGGAGTGTCCAGAGCAATAACCAACGTTACCGTATCATCATACAAACGGACCCCTCAACGGGTTCTATAACCTACTCAATAAACCCACCCTACTATGGGGTTCGTGTGGATGCAGAGTTACCTATTCACTTCGGAACTATTTTCCTAACCAGTGAATTACACTTTAAAAGCTTCAAGTTAGTTGATCGATTATTAACTGATACCCAATTAAAATATCTTTTGTAATATATATTATAGGATGGGGCTGTACCCAGTCGTAGAGGAAGTAGTGAAGACCCTGGAAACTGTAGACGGGTTCCGCTTGAGTCAGTTATGCGATGTAAAACACCAACTAGAACAAGATCGCGACAAGCGTAAAGCACTGTGTAAGAAGTACCATAGAGCTTTCAATGTCGTGGATGGTGTTGACACCACCCTTATGACAACCAGCATGGGCCTAGGGGTGGCAGGTGTTGGGTTGTTAGCTACCATCGTGGCCGCACCTATAGTGATGGGACTCGAAATAACGGCTGGGGTGACAGGGGTGTTAGGGTTGATACTTAAGTTTGCATCCCGCAGACTGCATCGTAAAGCATTGAAACACGACGAAATCAGGGTTCTGGCCGAAGCAAAGCTGAACACGGTGAGTGAGCGTATTTCCACGGCACTCACTGACAGTAAGATCTCGGAGGAGGAGTTTCGTTCAATCCTCTCTGAACTCACAAAATATGACAAAATGAAACAAGATATTCGATCCAAGTCTCGTAAGTCTGCTATAAGCGAGGATGAGAAAAAAAAGTATATAGAACAGGGGGTACAAAAAGCCCGGCAAGCCTTTATTACGAACACCAAAGAGATCCTAGGCGATTCACATTAAACTGTTTCGTTGAGGTAAACATGGCATAGTGTCATAGCGGCACGTTAGACGCAGCCCAGTATTGGATGATACAATCCCAGGATACCAACCAACTTCAACCATGAAACAAGATATTCGATCCAAGTCTCGTAGGTCTGCTATAAGCGAGGATGAGAAAAAAAAGTATATAGAACAGGGGGTACAAAAAGCCCGGCAAGCCTTTATTACGAACACCAAAGAGATCCTAGGCGATTCACATTAAACTGTTTCGTTGAGGTAAACATGGCATAGTGTCATAGCGGCACGTTAGACGCAGCCCAGTATTGGATGATACAATCCCAGGATACCAACCAACTTCAACCATGTCCCCGGTAGCTCAGTAGCGCGTACATTAGGCGTTCGTAGTAGGGGTAATAGTAGCAAGATCTAGAGGTCCGACCAAAGCCTCTGTCTGTGAAATAAGGCTTTTGCAGAGGCTTTTGTCCCGGACTCTCATTCCTCTGTTCAAGATCTAGAGGTCCGACCAAAGCCTCTGTCTGTGAAATAAGGCTTTGCAGAGGCTTTTGTTGGAACTGGTCCGACCAAAGCCTCTGTCTGTGAAATAAGGCTTTTGCAGAGGCTTTTGTTGGAACTGGTCCGACCAAAGCCTCTGTCTGTGAAATAAGGCTTTTGCAGAGGCTTTTGTTGGAACTGGTCCAGGACTCTCATTCCCTATACTACTCGTGACCTAACTTGTCACTGGCCAGAACACTGAGATTATAACCAGTGGACAGTGATCTAACTTGTCACTGTCCAGAACACCGCAAAGATAACCAGTGGACCGTGATCTAACTTGTCACTGGCTAGAACACCGCGACTGTAGCCAATGGACAGTGATCTAACTTGTCACTGGCCAGAACACCGTGACTATAACCAGTGGACAGTGATCTAACTTGTCACTGGCCAGAACACCGCAAAGATAACCAGTGGACACTGATCTAACTTGTCCCTGGCCAGAACACCGTGACTATAACCTGTGGAACGTGATCTAACTTGTCACTGGCCAGAACACCGCAAAGATAACCAGTGGACAGTGATCTAACTTGTCACTGGCCAGAACACCGCAAAGATAACCAGTGGACCGTGATCTAACTTGTCACTGGCCAGAACACTGTGACTATAACCAGTGGAACGTGACCTAACTTGTCCCTGGCCAGAACACCGCGACTATAACCTGTGAAACGTGATCTAACATGTCACTGGCCAGAACACCGCAAAGATAACCAGTGGACCGTGATCTAACTTGTCACTGGCCAGAACACCGCGACTGTAACCAGTGGACAGTGATCTAACTTGTCACTGGCCAGAACACCGCAAAGATAACCAGTGGACCGTGATCTAACTTGTCACTGGCCAGAACACCGCAAAGATAACCAGTGGACCGTGATCTAACTTGTCACTGGCCAGAACACCGCGACTGTAACCAGTGGACAGTGATCTAACTTGTCACTGTCCAGAACACCCAGACTATAACCAGTGGAACGTGATCTAACTTGTCACTGGCCAGAACACTGCGACTATAACCAGTGGACAGTGATATATCTTGTCACTGGCCAGAACACCGTGACTATAACCAGTGGACCGTGATCTAACTTGTCACTGGCCAGAACACCGCGACTATAACCAGTGGACAGTGATATATCTTGTCACTGGCCAGAACAAAGCGACTATAACCAGTGGAACGTGATCTAACTTGTCACTGGCCAGAACACTGCGACTATAACCAGTGGACAGTGATATATCTTGTCACTGGCCAGAACACCGTGACTATAACCAGTGGACCGTGATCTAACTTGTCACTGGCCAGAACACCGTGACTATAACCAGTGGAACGTGACCTAACTTGTCACTGGCCAGAACACTGCGACTATAACCAGTGGACTGTGATCTAACTTGTCACTGGCCAGAACACCGCCACTATAACCAGTGGATAGTGATCTAACTTGTCACTGGCCAAAACACCGCGACCAAAACCAGTCGAAATTGCTAGATCAACCTTTTGAATTACTTGAAGAAAGAGGACAATTGGAATACTTTTGTAAGTGTTTTGACCCCCTCGCATGAGATGGACATTGGTCACGACAAGAGCGCCAGAAACAAAACCTTCCTCTATTGAGTGTGTGACAACTGTAGATGGTGTGAAAGTGCCAGATGACGAAGCATGTACGTTAATACCTGATAATACGGTTTGTTAGGGTCAGTTTGCTAAATCTATCGGCTTAGATTTGGTTCAGCGACTGCATGTATGCTTTTGACTTTTGCGAATTTAGACTTTCAATAACAGTTATTATTGGAACATTTGCCATAGCAATCACAGAAAATAGGGTGAAGGTCATATGCAGAGCGGGTGTCTAAACTGACTCGGTGGGTCGGCATAGTGGATTTCTACTCTCCATAATCTCAGACAGTCAGAATTCACAAAATATCCCGATGGCGAACATAATATCCTCTGTGTTCAAATACGCCCACTGGGTATACTGTCAGGTGATCTGGTTGTACGGGACTCAGGTAAAGTCTACCCATCATTACAGGTAGTAATCATGGTAAAAATTTGGATGTGTTGTGGTGTGGTGATTCTCTTAAAACATATTCTATGATAGTTTCCAAAACGGGATGACAAATATAGCTGAAAGGCATTGTGTGACATTGGATAAGTTATAACACAAATATATCATCTACTAATATACCTTGATTTTGATCGATTTTGTTAGTCCGTTTTACGCAACATACCCAATAAAACTCACTACGTATATCAATTGTAAGGTCACAGTATCCAATATGATAACGAACATTGTAAGAGAAGTAGCCACTGACCATCCCGTGAAGCACTCGGACAACTACTGACTGTTCACCGAGGATCTGGTACTGTGATTAATTCAGTATATCAAATACATATTCAACGTACCTTCCACAGATAATTTGAGCACTCCAAGTTTTATTTCAGCCTTTTGAATCTGTAAATATGACAGAAAGACATTACCTCTCAGTGAAATCATAAATGGAATGTATATGTTGTGTTACAGACTTTAGTTCGACAAAATGACACAACATATGAATGAATATGTTACCTCTGCTGTCGCCTTTGGTTATTTTAAAACATATATTTGTTAGAATGCATTAATTACCTTTTCCTTTAGTCCTTGTATACCGTTCTCCAACCCTGTATAAAATAACAAGAACTGCAGTTATGATCTTACAAATATAAATCATGTATACAAATAAAAGTCATGTGATTATGTAGTCTGTTTAATGCCAACTATTTTGTGTATATATCATGATAATCTCACTTGGAAAATATTAAACGACGCAAAAACTGTCAAAAGGATGGACTTGTATAATCATTATTCTAATTCTTGTTCCAATTGACAACTAATGAATTATCATATATTTTGCTACTCACTTGTTATTTCGTCGTTGTGGTGTTGGACCTCTTTCTTAAGTTCATCTTTCTGGAACCACAAAGTGAAGTGACAAAGAAAGCAGGAATACATTGTACTAGTATATAGGGAAAAGTACATACATGCCTTCTGCATCAGTTGTTAAAGTAGAATGAAGCAAATCGAACGTCCATGTCCATAATATCAAGATTTAAACGTGTATGATCTTTATTCATATCGTGCAATCTCAGTTCAGGTTAAGTACCATATTTAAACATCTATCCTGTCCTAAAAATGATATTAAAGGGGATAGCTTTTCAAAGCTGGTGCTTCGTGTTGATTCCAAATTAGAACTAGGCAGTTAACTTGAAACTAGGTTTGAAATCAACAAAGACATGTGATATAATCAGCAATTGCATTATAAGATTAGATAGTCCCGAAAGTCAACACAAATCAATGCAAAGATATCACTATAGCAGTACAACATAGAGTGACAGTACAAATACAACGGTAATATAATACAAGATCAGTGACATGCTAGAACATTCCACAACACTCTCTAGGGTAGAGCAATCTGGAATCAGCAGATTGTACTTCCTGATCTCTCCATAATATTCTGTGGGTCAGAATATGGCGAAACCTCTAAATGTGGCACAATTCTATATATAGAGCACACTACTGCCCTCTACTGAATGCCAACAATGTTCTACACTTGGATTTCTGCTGTCAGGCCAGCTCGATGAACGGCTTCCTTTGTGGGGTAAACTGAACCAGCCATGACTGACGAGACCCTTTTTGTGGAGTCCAAAGAATCTGGTTTTGAGGTTCCAGACATCAACATTTCTGTAACGCTACCCCTGCTTTAACAGCCACAATCAGGTCACAGTTGAAATAAGGAAGTTATGAATTAATATTTGACACACTGCCAGTAAGAAAAGAAAACAATATATATAAGAGAAATGTGTATTGATAGGTTATATAATTTTTCATTATGAAAGATGCCCAAATATGTCTTTAACGAATATCAAGGTATAAATCACATCTATTTAGTGATGTCGATGGCACGCCTATTATGAAGAACGTATGGCCGATATATAGTTGTATATATGTCTGGTAAAATTTCATTTACCTTCTTCTTGATGCTTTGTGCGTCCTCGCGTTCACCTGAAGATGCAATTTTTCGGACAAAATTAATATTTTATACTTATCCTTACTAATGCTATATTGGTTATCTCCCGTCTCCTTCGAATTCCTTTAAGCGAACGTACAATCACATACCCTAGAGTTGCCTCCCCTAGCTTTTCCCGCCAAAAGGCATGCAGTCCTCATTCTCCCACACTAAGGCTTGCAGAGTAATCCGTAGTGCTGAGAGGGGACGGCTGGGAAATCATGGGTCAGGATAAATATACAATATCTTATCCGAAAATTTACATATTTTTCGTTATCCTGACTCACGCTCTATTGCTTATTGCATCCCACGGAAGAGGTGTTGGGTCAGCCAGCTTCGGGATTCTCTTGTGACTGAATAATCACATCAACGATCGCTCATATACCCCCCTGGAAACTCTTCTTGCGGATCGAACACGTCAAATTTTCCTGAATATTAGGGGACCACCTTCTTTTACGTGTGTAATAAAAGTAAATCTTAGAGATTTCGTGGATTTAAGATAAATAGAACGCCTGACTGTCTATATATCTTGAACTACCAATATGTTCAGGTAAGGACTATTATCAAACCCATATGTTAAGGATTATAACCGAAACTGAGCCTATATCACTCATGCGCTGACTCATCTTGTAAGGCAGGGGAACATGGACTCTGCCGGTGACAATGGATCAGCTGCCTCGCGTCAACGAGTCTACGTGACAAGGGTGAGGATTCTCATCGTCTGGCAGGAATCGTGAGTTGCTGGGTGGCCAAAACTGGTGTATACCTAATACATGTTCAGTGGCCATATCTCGTATATAGTGGTAGGCGAACAGAGTGTCCGACTTCCTAAAGCAGCCTTCCATGATGGATGATAAAGAACAGTTTCCATGTAGGGCGAGTGTCGAGGCCAGTGCTCTTACTTCATGTGGGTCCGATGCTGTAGACGGCTCTAACCCTGCTGCTTTATACGCTCGAAGGATCACAGGTCTGATCCAAAAAGGTTATGGTAGTTCGGGAGACCTACAGTCCTGGCGGCTGATAGCAGGATTAATAGACGCTTGAACTTCCTCATCCTTGCAGCAGATCTGTCAAGGTATAGATGCTTGATGGGCATTTAGAAGTTGGGAGGTAACACAACAATGTATGGTATGGATTTACAACTTCTTTAATGTTTACAACACGACGTTTCTTGGCTACTTCTTGCCCTTACATCAGATGAATGACAGAATATGAAACAAGCAAAATATATAGTATGTACAGGAAGCCAGTGAGATAGTATCACAGATTGAGATGAACAAGTTTGAGATTAAGATTGAGATGAGATTAAGTGATGTGTTTTGATGAGATGTACCAAAAAATACCAAAAAAATAGGATACCAACTGAAAGAAAAAATTATTATGACTGTCAAAATTGAAAACAAAATGGCCGCCAAATCTCCTTTTTGGTGGAAAAAATACTACATACTTACATCAGTATATTGTGAAATATAACTGACCACTCTATAATTAAAATGTTGATATTGTTGTCATCACAAGGTATAGAACTGCCTTTCATTAAAAACAATAATTAAATTGGATTTTGTTAACATTATTTCATCGCAGTTTTTTTTGTAAATGTATTTTATCAAAATTGCCATTGATTATTAGGAATAAGTTAACAAATAGTTTTAGTTGTTACATAGTTCAGATGACTTTTTAAGACATTTAAAGAGTGCTCATCTTCAATAAATAGGATTCAGATGTTTTTTTGGACCATCAAAATTGAAAAACAAAATTGCTGCGATAGTTGCCGTAAGTAGTGGTGGGTGTGCACGGTATGACATCACCCATGACACATTAGAGTTGTCATTGAAACAACTTTCGTCATCACCAGGCCTCATGCAGCTACGCGTAGCAGTACAAGGACGATTTGATCTCCTGCATTTGCAGCGCATTGTTTGACATATTGTTTGACATGAGCATGTGATAAGTGCAAAATAGGCTTCAGGAATGGGATCCAAAGACATCAACAGGTATTGTAGACCTTTGCTCTTGTCCAACCAATTTCTGTTAATTCGGTAAGTGATGGAATAGCTTCTCAGGCTTTCCTCCAGATCATGATTTGGTAATGGATACGCTGGATGTTGTGGTATAAGGCATCACTTGTCGGTGCCATCAACTCAGGCTTGCATGATTTCTCAAACAGAATCCTACGCGCCGTGTTCACACTTTTAACATTATGAACACCGTATACCTTGCACACAAACCCTTCAGTGGATCTGGTATTGTCTTGGTTCAGGTTTACAGCAACTAAATCCCTTAGGAGGTGATGATGGTCGAGAAAGGCCTTCTGGGCTGATCTCTTGGTATGACCACAGAAGTAGGATGTGGAATCATAGCCCGTAAGTGTATGAATTGGCAACAATGATCGGTCGATGCAACAGAATGTGCTGGCTGTTTCTCGTAAACGTTACCAACTGGAATGTACTTTCTTTCCCAAACAGTTCCTGTCAACATCCAGATGTTGTCATTTTTAGAGATGGAAAGTGTGCCGAGAGAAGCAGGCATATCAGCTGAACTTTTGACATGGCATCTGGAATATCTAAAGCTTAGGTTGAAGATGTACACAAAGAACTTAGTTAATCATCCCTTGACATATCTCACGATTGAATGAGCCCCAATCGTAATCCTTTAGAGCACACCTGGGACATGATTGGTTGTCATGTGCAACAAAGGGACCCTCCTGTACAGAACATGGCCCAACTGGAAGTTGATTTACATGAGGAATGGTGTAACGTGCCCATTCTGAGGATCTGGAGGCTCACATGGAGTGTGCGGAGGAGACTGCTGGCTGTCATATAGTCTCATTGACCTTGAATAGTGTAAGACACGCAAAATGGCATTTGGAATGTTCACATTCACCAATAAATTCAACATTAAAAATTCAAGGGCCATACCTGTACAGATACGGTTTTGTAGGAAACTCAGTGGGGTTTTTAGTGAGCAATTATCATCATAAAATCAACAGGGAACTCCAATATTTTGTCGGTATTTTACCTAGCACGTACAAGTAACGTTTCGCGATCATTAGGAGATCCACACATCTGCACAAATGTAATACAGTCTGCAACGTGAACATGAAGCTTTTCCCTGAATGGTGCCCGACGATTTACTAACGATTCGGTAGTGGAAGCGTTGGATTTGAATGCTAGTTGTTCGTACCGTTTCCAGACACAGGCTCAACCTGAGAACATGACCTTTTTCTGCTGCAAACGCAACACAGAGGTCAACCATACCATTGGCGGGTCTGTGTTACTGTCATGAGCATTATTGGTTTTTGTTTGTTTAGGTAGTTCTTTTAAAGGAACTAAGACAAGGCAAATGGTATTTAGCCTCAGAGGCAATTAGGTCACATACACCAGCAAGTTTACAATTCAAGTCCTGGTCAAATCGAGAATATCAGAGCTTGTGTTAGATATCATCACGGAATAGAGATATTGATTTAAGTTAACTTCCTGGCAAAATATAGATTTTTCCAGTCAATGGGGTTTGAACATGAGGGTTTTATAGAAAAAGTATATATGGATGACAGCTTCTTTTATTCTAGAGCACGACGTTTTGATACAGGTTCTTGTATCGTTTTCAAGTGAGAAAACTCACCTGAAAACGATACAAGAACCTGTATTGAAACGTCGTGCTCTAGAATAAAAGAAGTTGTCATCCATATATACTTGTTCTATCTGACTTCCAACTTCTAAAACTGCCACTCAAAGAAGTCATGAGGGTTTTACTTATATTTTGCAACTGAAAATGTAGTTTATTCTTCATTCTATTGTTGAGGGGTTTTTTTTGCCCTTATTGAAAGTATACTGAACCGCAAAAGAAACGCAAGTTACTATTTTCAAAACATACGTTCCAAATGCATTCCTTTTAGGACAACAAAGTATACCATTATAGAACTAAGCATTCGAAGATGGTTTTGCCTTTGTTGCCGCCCATTCTTGACCATATTGCCTAAACGCAATCATTTTCATGTTTTTCGTGTTTTTTGCATGAAGTTTTTGTGTTGCACACAAAAATGCGAGCATTTCACTCCAGTTTGAAGCTTTATAAGGCAGGTCATTCAAAAAACACCATAGAACACAAAATTGACTGTGACAACGCGGAGAAAACATGCCACGTCTAACTGAACAGCAACGATGAATCGCCGTTGGAATGTTGCAGACCGGATCCACACCAACTAAAGTGGCCAGGCACTTCAGATGTCACGTGACAACAATCACAAGACTATCCGCAAGGTATCGTCAAACCGGTAATGTTCCAGACCGATCACGTTCAGGACGTCCCAGGGTAACAACGCCAGCGCAAGATCGTCACATCCGGGTTACTCATCTGCGTAGCCGACAGCAACGAACAACACAGACAGCTGCAACCATTCAAGGGCCACAACGTCACATCTCTGCACACACTGTTCGTCGTCGTCTGAGGGCAGCAGGGATGAGATGTCGCCGTCCTTACGTCGGACCGATTCTGACGCAACGTCACCGCCAAAATCGTTTACAGTGGGCGCGACAACACCACCGTTGGCGACCTCAACAATGGCAACAAGTGTTGTTTTCTGATGAGTCCAGATTCAACTTGTCCCATACGACGGCCGATAACGTGTATGGACACGACGTAATGAGCGTTACGCCAACTGTTGTGTTGTGGAAGCTGACCTCTGGGGAGGTGGAAGACTCATGGTATGGGGTGGCTTCAGCTACCACCACAGAACATGATTACACGTGTTTCGTCAACGTGTGACTTCTCTTGTCTACAGAGACCAGATCTTTCAACACCACGTTGTACCGCTCTTCCAGGCCCAACCTCAGCTCCAGACGTTCCAGCAGGACAATGCTCGTCCTCACACTGCACGGGTCTCTATGGACTTCCCCAGAGGGAACAACATTGCTGTACTGCCCTGGCCCACTCTGTCCTCGGATATGGCACCAATCGAGCATGTGTGGGATGAAATTGGTAGACGGATACAGACAGCTGCTCAACCTCAAAACCATAGAGATTTGGAAGCCAGATTGGCCAGGGAATGGAATCAAATTCCCCAAGCCTTCTTTCAGACACTTGTTGACTCGATGAGACGTCGTTGTGCTGCCTGCATTGCAGCCAATGGTGGCCACACGTGGTACTGATTGACACACTGTTTCGTGACATTTTTGGTGTGTGAGGGTGGAGTGATAACATATGCTTTTACAGTAAACTTGAGTGTTGTTTTCACCAGAGATCATGACTCATTTCTTCAACAATCACTTGTCTGTTGTTTTTTCGTAGTGTTAAGATTGTTTGTTCCACAGATTCAGAAATATTCACATTTCTAAATAAACTTGCGTTTCTTTTGCGGTTCAGTATAGATACATTATTCCATTAAGAATTTACAAACAATATCAATGTTAAAGGAGGAATACTTACAATAATAGCACCAGCAACTTGACATGTCTTAGAAAGGCAGCCAGCAAAAGTAAGGGACCATTCGCTATTGTGAATTGTCAAATTACCACCTTTTTGAAAAGTAAAACTTTCAATCCATTCAATTACCACTATGCTCAATAATGTTTCATGATGTGTTGCTGACCATCTGAACTATGTAACAACTAAAACGTTTAAATATCTTATTCCTAATAATCTATGATAATTTTGATAAAATACATTTAACAATATTTTTTTGGGTGAAATAGATATACAGTCACAGGTGATGATATACCTACCACTACTTGAGGTGACTATGGTGGCCATTTTGTTTCTCAGTTTTGAGGGTCCAAAGGCATTTTTCAGCTTAATATTTTATTTCATGATCAGTACTCTATAAATGTCTTAAAAGGTCAAGTTTCCAAAATTTATAACATAGAAATAGTCACAGGCGAAAATACTATGCACACCTACCCCTATTTTAGGCGATCATTTTGTTTTTCAATTTGAGCGTCAAAAACACTTGTTTTCAGCTTGGTATCCTATTGTTTCGTTACCAACACCCTCTAAATAGGTAAAATAGCCTGGATATCAAATCCTACTGAAAAATGCATCAACATCTTTTATTTAAGCCTTTTTCCAGAAATGGGCCTAGTCGTAGGAAGATTGGAGACTATTACCCCGGCGTGAGTCTGCTTTGATCTGTGATCTCTACCTAGTCTTTTCGCCAGCAAAGAGTCGATGGCCTCGGTCACTTTGACACATGGCTTGGGATACAGATGTATCTGTGGGTTGATGGACAGCGGTGGCGATGCCTTCAACTGGATCCTGTAACCCTCTCGTAGTACGTCTACCAAGTAGTCGTCTTGCAGTATTCTCCAATTCTCTCAGTGGTGCCCTAGACATCCACCTACAGTTGATGGTTGTACAGGAACGGCTTAAGTTGGAACGGACCAGTTGTTCCGAACCTGGACTTCAATGACGGGAAACTCCACCACTGCTTGAGGAGCGATCATGGCTGGAGTAACTTCAGGTGTTGGTGGGACGGTGATAAGAACCTTCTTAGCCACCACGTGGAGATGAAGGCTTCTTCTCCTTAGACCTCTGGATACTGGAGAAACGGGACCGAAGGTGGCAATGTTGTTCATGGTCTGGAAAGACTTTATCAGCATCAGGTCTATTGAGTTTTCAGTAACCTCCCGCGACTGTGATTCTGTCTCCATAAGGACCGAGGACATCACAGGCGTAGACTGTGATGACATCTTACGGCAGGAATGAGCTAACCACTATGCACGTAGGTTGCAACCACACACTGTACCACCCTTCTCAACGCAGGCTAGCTGGAACGTCAAATCTGACAACAGGTTGTGCAGACATTGGTGTCAAATATTCAATGAAATTTTCAAACAATATTCAATGAAATTCAAAAATGATACAAATGTGTATAATAAATACATACTGCAAATACCAAACCCGATTCCAGACACAACTGAGCAACCAAGGTGTGAATCAAGCATTGAGGTGTGAAAATAACCATGTTTACACAGCAATCTTGTAAACAGACAGTCACCTGGAACTGAGTGAAAAACGTACAACAATTTTCATAAATATGATGAATAAGAGCCTAAAGAACACATTGACGGAAAAATTTGAGTTAAATATCAAAAGAAACAGTAATATAAGCCGACCCAGAAAAGGAACCCAGACCCAGCCCCAGACCCTCTAAACCATTTACTTGAGCGTTTAAGGAGAGAATGGGGACTGCATGCCTTGCGGTCACGTGGGTGCCTTTTGGCGGGAAAGGCTAAGGTAGGCAACTCCAGAGTGAGTGGTTGTACGTTCACTTCGGGGAATTGAAGGAATTCAAGTTTCCACTTAACCGTCTGGAGGAGAAGGGAGATAAGCAATATAGCACGAGTCAGGATAAGGGGAAAAATGTACATTTCGTCAGTCACTGCATACGCAATAGATACATTGCGATGTTCAATTTCCGATAAATGGTAAGTAAAAACTGAATACTGTATGTTTGTTGTTGGAATTTTTCCACTTCGACTTTCAGTGTCCCAATCTGAAATTCAAGAAATGAATTGATATGCATGACAATCCTCCATTGATACTCTCAGCAACTCTCAGTTTGCTTAAATAAGTGTAACATCAAGGATATCAGTAGGGAAATACATTATCAGTGGAGCAACGTGACACTGTATCAGGACACTCACTGAGGCATGCATGTTGATCTACGACAGGCTTAAAACTATCTTTTATGGTAAACATGGACGTAGTATTCCGAGGCAACTGGGTCCTTTCTTTCTTCTTGCTTAATGTTTTTGTGTTATACAGCAACTCACTGCTACGGAAAACCGAGTGACTAGGATAAAATTACTCGGATAGGTTAGATTAGAACACCGTATGCAAACATCAGCTGACCAATGTCATCAGAAATGCGGTATCTCTTGTTTTCACACTCGCCAAAAAACATGCATGACAAATATATCATTGTACAATTATAGATTTCTATACCCATGACATGTTATGTTCTTGTTGATGCTGTATCTAATTTGAAATAATTGTAAAAGTTTAGATCATTGTATACTCGGAATCCTAACTGCATGAATATGGACATACTCACCTCCAACTCCAACTTTTGAACCTTGTCTTTTCTCCCTGTTGATATAAATACATGTAAACATGTGTATTCATTTCTTTACTTCATATATGATGATGCTTTGATATATATCATATCTTAGAATGTTGTAGGAATCTCTTTTATGTGATACATTACAGAACAAAAGAGTTAATTTCATTTAAGTAGTGATTGTGTGTGAATGGATACTAACTTTTTTTTTCATTCTCCATTGCGGTCAGCTCACTGCGCAACTCCCAGATCTAAAAAAATAACACGAGTTTTTTATTCAGATGTAATCACTGTCATTAACTGTCTATTTGTTCTATGTTGTCTGATTCGTGAAATAGAAATCCATCCCTCGGATGGCTGGCACCAGCTTTTCTCGCAAAACGTTCATAATTCTGCAAGTGACGGCACGTAATGCCAAATATATACAAAACATGTATTTGTACTGACATTTTTCAAATAATCTGATGGCAGTAGCAAGATTCTCGAGGTTCAAATCATGGGTTTGGGTTTGTTGAATTTGTGTGTAGGGGTTCTTATCCTGTAGGTGAATCTTCTTCATTGCCAATGGGCGGTATCACATGGGGCCATGGGCGGTAGGCCATTGTACAAGGTGTTCATTTGCTGTGCATAAAACAGAACTCAGGAACAACTATGGAGGAAATGAGACAAATCTAAAACTGAAATATGATAAATCACTGGATAAAAATACATACTTTGAGCCACTAATGTAACACCATTGTTATCATTGAGCTGTTGCAAAACGATGTGTTTGATAAAACTAAAACGTGTTTGGTTTACGCTATAAGTATCTATCTTCAGCTTAGGGCGGTAGATCTTCTGTTCATTCTTGAAGTGATATATTGCATGAGCCAGTCAAGCCTCCCAACTACAATTTTACAACACTAACATTGTCCTATTAGATGAAAGAATGGAAAATGAAAGGTTGTTGTTGATTATTATTCACGTGCAGACAGTACTCTGCTGTTTTAGGATACATCCTGGGAACCATCACTAGGGTCTGCCATCATCGCATATAAGGGTTGTTGAAAAGCTGGAGGTGATACCAGCCAGTGAGTCACATACATGTGTCTCATACAAGGAACACAAATTGCACCACCAGCCAAGTACCTTGAGCTGAAAATTTTAACAAGTGTGTTTAATCGTTTACAACTGTTTATAACTCACGACCATACAACCAAATACAGGTCAAGCCAGACAACAAAATAGAAGAATCCTCTGACAACCCCATTTAGCATTTGAAACTACCTTTAGTTTGTCCAGAACTTTTACACATTTAGCTTTTAGGTTTTTAAAATGAGCGATAAAAGATGTTATAACTAAACATTTGGCCTATTTGACCACCTTGATTGGAGTTAAAATTAAACCCGTTTTCCAGGGACCACTTGTGTCTTTTTTTAGAAAAAGTTGTAATTGTCTCTCATGTATCACTATGCGGTGGTTAAAAGGTTAAGCAAGGAAAAAGCACTTTTGCAAACGATGTCTGCATGGCTACAGTCGAGAAGACCTGCTGGAATCGCACCGGGAGGACTGCCCGATGAAAAGAAAAACACGCTAAAATTCAGCAACCACAAACATCAAATGGCCGTGCCCTGCGTCATTTACGTGGACTTCAAAGTCCTCATCAAAACCGACCCCCCCAAAAAAAGTTACATGCACAAAATGCATGAACACGAATTTTGCGTGTTCGGGTACGTGGTCATTCGATGCGACCGGGAAATGAACGGTCCTGTGGTCTACCAAGATTCCAACACGAAACGTTTCTCACATCCTTGCAACGCAAAGAAAAAAAATTAGGGAAGCCGGACCCTGCTCCAAAGCGCAAGACACCAAGGGATGAGTTTGTTCATCAACAAGCACAATATTGCCAGGGCCGCCTTAAAGACAATACCGTTCAAGATCATTGCCATGCCACCGGTCAATACCGAGGCGCTGCCCACAATGCGTGCAACTTAAAGCTCAAAATCGATAAAGGAAAAATTAAAATCCCTGTCGGGATTCACAATTTAAGAGGGTTCGATTCTCACTTGATAATGCAGGCCATCTCGAAAACCGATGGCAACATCAAATGTATCCCCAACAACATGGAAAAATACATCTCCTCATTAAACTGTTTGGGATTCATCGACAGTGATCAGTTTCTCCTGTCATTGCTTGATAGTTTGGTCAAGGCCAACGATACCTTGGCTATCATGGATAGATACACTGATGCCAAGACTCAACCTCTGCTGCTCCGGAAGGGCGTCTACCCATACAAATACATGGAGATTGATCTAAGTTTGAGGAGACACGATTACCCCCCTTCAACCGCTTTTACAACAACTTAACCAGAACCAATATTACTGAGGATGATTATGACCACGCCCTCAATGTGTGGAACAGACTGGGTTGCAAGAATTTGGGTGACTAGCATGATCTGTACTTGAAAATGGATGTGCTGCTGCTGGCCGATGTGTTCGAGATATTCAGAAAAACGTGCTTGAAACAGTATGGCCTGGACCCCGCGTGGCATTTCTCATCCCCCGGTCTTGTTGAAAGAGACCTAAGTTAAATTGGAATTTTTAACGGATTACAACATGCACCTGTTCGTAGAGAAAGGTCTCCAAGGCGAGATTTCGATCGTATCCAAGTAATACGCAAAAGCCAACAACCATATACGTGAAAGGCTATGACTCGAGCAAACCGACCAAACACATCCACTATCTCTACGCCAACAACCTGTACTGCTGGGCCATGAGTCAGTATCTACCCACCGGTGGGTTCGAGTGGGTGGGTACTAAACATTTTAACCCAAGGAACATTATGTCTTTCCCCGAAGACTTCGAGATAGGATTCATATTCAAAGTGGACTGGAAATATCCAGCGGAATTACACGAATCGACAACAGCTATCCGCTAGCTCCCGAACGATTGATGGTGAACCTGGACTGGATGTCCGAATATCAATGAAACTTCTTGAGAGACAACAAACTGGCTAATATGGAAACATTTGTGCGTAATTTAATGGATAAAACCAAATACATCGTACATTACCGGAACCTGCAACCTGTCGTTGGGGATGAAGCTGAAAAAATACATCGAGTGCTCCGATTTGATCAAAGTCCATGGATGGAACCTTACTTTCGGTTGAACAAGGAGCTGCGAAAACAAGTCTTGAGTGGCTTTGAGGAAAAAATGTACAAGCTCATGAACAACTCAGTGTTTGGCAAAACCATGGAAAATTTGAGAAAACGGGTGACTGTAAAACTAGTGCGATCGAATGAGGAGGAAAAACTAAGGAAATTGATAGCCAGCCTGGCATTCAACCGAAGCAAAGTGTTCGACGATGATTTGGCGGCGCTGCACATGAACAAAAGTCACATCAGATTGAATCGACCGGTCTACGTGGGGATGATCATCCTTGACTTATCAAAACACTTGATGTATGATTTCTACTACAAAAGTTTAAAAAGCAGTACGGTGATTGATACGAGGTGTTGTATACCGACACCGATTCCTTGTTGTTAGAAATTTGTGCTGAGGACGTGCGGACATGGTGAAAAAAATATATCTGTACGACACCAACGACTACCGGAAAGACCATCCTATCCAACAAAATAGTCCTTTGGCAAAATGAAAGACGAGTGCGCGGGCACAGCCATTGCGGAAAACGTCGGATTAAGACCTAAAATGTATTCCATCCTCAAAGCTGAAGACAGCGAAATCATAAAACCCAAAGGGGTCAAGAAATACATCGTGAAACAACACATCAAAAACACACTCTTAAAACAAACTCTCTTCAAGAATCAATCATTCAAACACAGAATGAACGCTTTAAGAAGTGACGGACACAAAATCTATGGGATCACCCTCAACAAAATCTCCTTGTCACCCATGGACTCCAAACGATGGATTTCAAACGATGGTATTCACACTTATGGCTATGGATACCAACAGTCAGTCTAGACTCGGGAATGTATGATAACTCACTCGACATGTCGAGGCCAAGACAGTAGTGGAGATTTAACATGCGTAAGCTGGCAAGCTCGTCTGTACATACAATGATATCTCACGAATGGGGGATCAATTTTTTCCTGGGCAATGGGAGCAAAATCAAACAACAATAATCCTATAGGAGTCAGTGGTCCAGAACCACCATTGTGTATACTACTGTATCCAGCTGTTTCGTCTATTTTCCTCTATTCTTCTACAAGCCTTTGCTCTTGATATTCTCAGGTGTTGCAGGCTATCTTGAGTAGGATGTTTGTTAAAACTCTTTCAGCCTTTTTCCTGATTCTTCTTGTATTTTTGCACTCTGCACTTGTACCGACACCTGGGGTTGTCGAGGACTTAGAGATGGTTTCAGTGCCAATGTGTATTAATGCATTAGAAACAAACTGATTTGGTCAGGTTCATTCATGAAATGATCAGCTGTCAGATTATCACTGCATAATGTACTAAAAGACTGCCAATCAGCCTTGGATAATTGCCATCCGGAAATAGGGCTATCTGCAAATGATGCAATTGCTTTTAGTACGGTAGGAAAGTGAACACTGCCATACAAATCGTCATGAACTGAAAATTCATTAAAGAGTGATGGTTAGAAATAGACAAGTCCAAGGTAGAGCATGAACCTGTAGCTGGATGAAGCTAGGTGTTACTTACATCTCATTAAGAAGGCACAGGCAATGTTTATCATCAGTTCCTTAAGGACTTTTCCTTTATCATTTTGATCAGCTGAACCCCATAAGGGATTATGACCATTGAAATCTCCCATAATTCAAAATGGTTTGTGTATGTGTAATGACGGGGATATATACAGGAACACAGCGTTATTGCAGAATGCAGTGTTATCCTTACTGCAACAGCTTGTAAGTTAGATTTTAGTGCAATAGGGCTATATAGTGTTCGCCGATTAACTAGTATACTTGTACCACCCGATGCCGCACCGTTGGTAATTGTTGGTACGAATTATAAGCAGCATATTGGAGTATATTAAATAAATTATGACTTCTTAGAAAGACTTCCTGAGGGCTAAATGCCACAGGATTATAAACGTTGGCTTAAAGTTTGGTTTCTACAAAATTAGCTCTGATTCCTCACAAATTCTACTGTATCAGTATTTTATTCCTTTGGGTTGTGCGATTGGAGAAAGCTTCCGACCTTTTTGGGTATTGTTACACCTCCTTGTTATCTTAAGGATCAAGCATGTTTAAAATGGACACATGGTCTCTTTGTCCTTCAGGTACACGATC